CGAACACGAGTGGGAGATACCTCCCGGATATGACTACACCAAGATTTTGTTTTACAAATCTCAGCCTCAGCAATTTAATTGTCGTCAGTCACACGGCATGGTACTTGTTCAGGACGATGAACGTCCGCTTCGGCCGTTGGAAATACATGTTGTCAAGGAGGTATGAAAAAGTAACATTTTGATCAGCAAATAACATTGAAGTCCACTGCTTGATAAATTTAAAGCTAGATAAGTAGTGTTTTGTCTTGTATATTCTTAACTAGATCGAAAATGTTTAACTCGATTGTATCTTTATATGAATTTATTTTTTTTTCTCCTTACATTTTCCAGGCGAGTTCCAAATACTCTAGTGTTCTAAATGCAACCACATCTCACTTTATACAAGGTCGACAGATTATTGCTCGACGTCAGCAGATAAAAACAAGGTTCAGACGTGAATTTGCTGGTTTGAATGGTGAATCACTGGATGGTGGTACTAAAATAACACTTAGGTAAGGAAACGTTTGTGTTCTTAGTGAAAATATCAGCTTTTTGGGTTTACCGTTTTGGGTTACTCATTAAAGACAGAGTTATCATATTTCACAAATGAAAGGAGTCATGTTACTCTTATTCCATCGAAAAAGAATGCTGGTCTTTTTTGTTTCTTTCCGAAGTTTTATTTGCAGTTCTTGGCATCCAGTGCAAAGACTTCCTGCAGATGGTATATATTTTTTAGTAATTAAATTTACCGTTATAAAGTCCAGTTCATTTGAAAAGACTACACAAGGTATGTCTTTTAATAACATATTGACTATGTCTTTTAATAACATATTGACTGAATTATTCTGAAGCCAAGAGTATTAAACGACGATATTTTAAAAGGTTTCCTGAATACTTGACCAACAGACATGATAATTTCTACTCCTCATATAATAAAGAAGAGCAACCTTCTGTGAAGATAGTTTTGTTATTTTTTGCTGTTGAGAACTTAACTAAATCGACAGTTTATTATTTGGCCAAGAGAATGTTGTATTATTTTAATTTTAGTACCACTTGTCCACAATTTAACAGTAGATGTGCAGTGGCGTAGTCCTTATGGACATTTAAGTGCAATCGATTATCCACTTCTCAGATTTTACGCTTTTATGTGGTTTTTTTATGCTATGTTAGCCGTCATTTGGTAAGATGGTTTTTTTTCATTTTATATTTCTTGAAAAGTTATATGTTCATTAGTTTCCAATTTAATGTGGAAAAAAATTTGTTTAAGAACACAAAAATTGAAATATATCATTTAAAATTCGGGTCTCAACTTTTTGGATTTCAAAAATTGTTCGTCAAATAGCATTCGTTAATAAAATATTATATAGTATGAATAAAATGGATAGGATTGGTAAAAGTCTCCTTTGATGTATGGAATCAGCCAATAATTCTGTAATTTTTACTTTTTTTGACTCTTCTTTCATATTTAGAATGAAAAATTAGAATATATATCCTATTCTTCCATTGCTCTTCCCTCTTCTTTCATCTGAAAATTTAAAGTTCTCATTTCTTCAGGTTAATATGTTGCTTACGTTACTGGATGGATATTTTGAGGATACAGTTTTGTATTGGTAAAATTTTATAACATTTCCATATAGTGGTTGCATTAGCGATTCAGTCATCTTTTCAAAATTCAAAAATCTTAAAAATGATGTATATACGTGGGTAAATTAAGGTGCTGTGATCGTTGCTGGTATGATCGAGAAAGGAATGTTTTATTCGGAATATGCGGCAATGAATGAAGATGGTTCCACTGTTCACGGTTTCATTGAGGTGATTGGTTTTTATTGAAACTTAAAATCCTTTTTTAGTCTGTCTCTTTTGTTCCTCAGAATATGAAACTGATTTGTTTACTCAATATTTTGTTTTGTTTGTATATATTGATTGTTGAAAAATTTGTTCACTAACTATAACAATGATCTACGCTCATTGATTTAGACAGCAGAGTTAGTCTCATGTTTGAAACGAACAATGGCTCGTGTATTAATTATAATAGCTTCACTTGGCTACGGCGTTGTGAAACCAAGACTTGGCAGTACTGTCAGTCAGGTTAACTTTTCTCACCTTATTTATTTCTACTTATTTACTGGCATAATATTCATTAGTTAACCCAACGGAACAAATGATGTTCAATTTTGAGATGGAACTGTAAGTTTTTGCTGACTGCCATCTGCAGATAAAACGACAGAAAGTTTGTCGAGAAATAAATTTATTCATTTGAAGGTAATTGGCATGGGCTTTATTTATTTCGTATTCAGCGCTATCGAAGCGATGGCAAGAGTGAGCAAGGTATTTTGTTTTCTTAGCATTTTAGGCCTCTCTGCTTTTGGAAAACCAAATTGTAATTTGACAAAGTCTTAACAACATCGCAATTGCTTTTCCTCCAAATTCAAGCATTATTTCAAGTCAAAAGCAATCAGATAGTAATGTTTTTTCTTGATTACTCTTACCATAAATATTTTTAGAATCAAGTAGAAGGGATGAAGCAGAAGCAACTAGCAGCTTTACCGTTGGTATTGATTGAGGTGGTTATCTTTTGGTGGATTTTTACATCACTTATCAGTACTATGCGAGTGCTGAGAATAAAAAGAAATATGGTGGGTATTTTTATTTTTTCAGTAAACTAACATATTTTATTGATTTCAGCTGAAGCTATTCGGTTCAGAAAAATACGTCTTATTTGTCCATTTTAGTTTTTTTCTTGATGGTTGTTCGGCCTTTCGCCTAATTTGAGGCTCTTTTCAAGTGTTTTTTCATTACTAATTGTTTCGCTTACAGTTTTAATGCAACAAGAAAATCCCGTTTTTTATATATTCCAATTACACATTAGATCTGTGAAGTTTGGCAAATTACTTGAATTATATTTTCCTCAGGATCTAGGTTGAGATTTCCTTAAAAGATTTGCTGCAGTAGTTATAGAAGGTCGACTGTGGAAGTGTGTTTACATGGTCAACTAATTTCATTTGATCACTTTTCAATTAACTTCGAATTGAAATTCATTTTCAGGTAAAGCTTTCTGTATACCGTCACTTCACCAATGCGTTGTGCTTTTCAGCTTTCATAAGCATAATATTCTTATGTTGGACAATTTATATACACAATATGCAACGGTGTTTAATCGACTGGAAAGAATAGTGAGTGGTTCATGTAATATATTCGCCTAGTTATATATTGACATTTCATTCCAAACCGTGTTTCTTCAACTGATTTATGTGGGGAACGATTGAATAGCTCATCAATTAAGTTAAAATAGAGATAATCCATAAAATCATTTTACAGTTGGGTGGACACAGCATTTTGGCACATTCAGTTCTGTTGCATTCTGGTCGTTATTATGATTTTATGGCGTCCATCATGCAACAATCAACGTTATGCTTTCACGCCACTGCTTGATGATAGTGAGGATGAGAATGATGACGGTAAGTGCCGTAATTTCAACACTTCTATGCAAGCGAAAATAATTAGAAAGGAGGGTTGAGACAATCTAAAATGAAGCCGGTCATTTGTGATGTTGAAGGATTGTACTTAGCGACGGTGAATGCAACAATTTGTGGGAATGCAACGCCTGAATTATATTAATTCTTTTGCTTACCCAATTTATTACCAAGCTATTCCTACATTTAATCGAAGGTGCAGACGAGCTTTTCAATACCAGTTATTATGCGATGACTGGATTAAACAAGCGAACTACTACGGTGGATACTGATGCTTCTGCCCATGACCAAGAAAATTCTAATAAGAAGCAACATGAAGCTCAGGAAAGTGACCAGAAATTGCAGGTCTGAATCGAATCATTTCTGTTACCAGAAATTCCAAAGTAACTAACATAATTTTCCACTGTTTTCAAAGATTAAGTCAGTGTTCATATATGGCAATAGAAAAAAAAACATTCGATCGTATTTTGATTTTATCTTCCTTTGAGATGTAAGTAAAAGTAAAAACAAAATTACATCTAATTGCCTTCATTGGCAATGGTTGTAGGATATATAGAATGAAATATGTGCATACTACTGGTATGTTAGTTCACATATTGTCAGGAAAAATCTTGTAGTTTTCTGTTGCTCTGACTCCACTGCATCAATAGTAACCTTTATTGGTCTTATACGATATTGCACAATATTGGATTATGTAATAATAGGGACGAACAACACAGTAAATATTAAAAGATACCGAACGCAATAAATGGTTTTGTCGGTCGTGCTGGTGAGCTATCCAACAGCTGCTTTTACTGCTGTCGAATCGTTGTCAAAGTTAAATGAATGACCGTGCTGTCGCCTTAAGTGCTTGCGCGAGCTGTCGAATTAAATAACCGCCTTGAGCTGTCAGATTTTGTAACTGACACACTCGGATGACTGATCCTAGCTGGTTATATAGTGGAATGGTTTAACATTCCAGACACATTAGCTTAGCTATCAGACCGAGGTTCTTTATAATATTTGGAATTTGCGCATGACTTCTTTACAACAAACATTCCGTTAATTGGATATAAGCTTGATTAACAGAATGGAAGGAATTTACAACAAAGGGCTTTATTTGCAATATTTAGACATTGCAATTATGGTCGGTAAAAAAACTGAAAGTTAGATTGGGACAAATGATTCATCATTTTAGGTGTCGAAATATTTATTTTATTAATTTTATGTAATGAATCGTTTATCTGGGAAATATTCTAAATTCTAAATAAAACAAGTAATGACATTTTTTCGGCTTCGCCACCATATGTTGCGTTTTTCTACCCTAAAAATATGATAGTAAGGGTATGTAGAGTTAGTGAAATGGGCATGGTAAAAAGAGGAAATTAGTAATAAGTTTGGTAATATGAGCAGCAGTTGCAGATTCAATTTTAATTGTTTGTTAAACTTTTAGTTGCTAACGCGCTTTGTTATTTTTAGGAGGAGCTGAAATGGATTGAAGACAATATCCCAACTACGTTTGCTGACCGCTTGCTGATAGATAACGAAGAAGACAGGGAGCAAATGGAACTGGAACTTTCCAAAATGCTTTAACAAAGGCATAAAGATTAATTTCATTGATTTTTAACATTGTTATTTGCAGAACGATCTAATCTGGAAATAGTTTGTACAGAAAATAGATCATTTAACTTTTTTGACTTGTTTTTTGACTAGCATTCTGGGACTTATTGTTGTGGAAGTTTGGGGATTTTGTGTGTAAGCACAGTCGAATATTGGTTATTTGTTGATAGATGGAAAATCGAATATTGATTATTATTGGTTATTGGTCGAATAGTGGTTATTTGTTGGTAGATGGAAAAAAAAAATCAATATTTGTTGATAGATGGAAAAGTATTATACGTTACAGGAGAGTTTCCAGAGAATATTAAATACAACTGAATTTTAAAAATTTCGAAATTGTAGAATAACCTTTTAAAATGACTTATGTGGAATGACTTATACAGTGGAAGTTTGTCTACAACAATCTAAGAAATTAGAACCGATTGACTCCAAGATGACCTGAAGTTTTTTGCAATATGCCAACATTGACCTGAGATTTTTTGCAATGTATTGACTTTAATCTGAGATTCTCTACAATATGCCAACACTGCGTATGAATTTGATAATCAACGTAAGTTGATGTTATCGAAATACTGCAGGTGGCCATAACTCTACGAAATGAATGCAAATTCATGTCTTCACGGATGCTTCAAACGTAACATATGCAACAGCGATATATGTTCTAAACAGCAGTGCTGTAAGGATGAAAATATCACTGATTTTAGCTAAATCTAGATTGGCTCCAACTAAAGGAATGAGCAGACCTCGATTGGAAATAATTGCGATACTTATTGATGTACGAGTAGTAATGTTCGTCACGCAGCAATTAGAACTAAACGGGCGTCCAATAATTCTTTGGTCGGACTCGAAATGTGGACTATGTTGGATACAAAATCATTCAAAATTGCTGCCAAGATTCGAACAAAATCGGAAAAAAGGAATACGGGGAGCAAAAATTTCATTTCAATATATCCTCAGTGAGTATAACTCTGGATATTGCTACAAAGGGGCTCTTTCAGGAAAACTAAAGGAATATGGTGGAAAGGACCGCAGTGGTTAAAAGAACCCGAAAGTAAATGACCTCAATGGGAAGATCTGACCATGAAAGAATATGAAGACGAAACGGAAGAACGAACCATTGCAAAAGTCACGACCCGAAAAATTGAGAATACAAACTTTTGGATCATCGACACAAGCCGATTTAGCAAGTGGTCAACATTGGTAAAAACGACTATTTTGGTTCTTAAATTTATTAAAAGAATAACAAAAGGAAAATTGTCATGGTTGAGTCCGATATCGGCATAAGGACATCGACTAACATCTGAAGATCATAAATTAGCTGAATGAATGATCATTAAACAAGCACATAGAGAAGCGATTGCCGAAAAAGAGATAGAGAAATGGAACTATACTATGACGAGGATGAATTATGGGAATCATAGAGTCGCCTAGAAAATTCAGAACTGGATGAACAAAGCAAACATCCAGTTTATTTACCACGACATAATGCAGCTACCGAGCTTTTAACACGGCAACAGCATGAGACATCATACCATGCCGGAAGCAAACATAACTCTCAGAACTGAGACGTAAATTTTGGATAGCAAAAGGGCGAACTGAAGTTAAACGTATCATCAATAACTGCACCGGTTGTAAACTATGGTCGGCGAAATCATTCAAGTTGCCCCTCATGCCTAATTTACCAAGAACACGAGTCAATCGATTAAAAGCTTTTGCGTGTTGATTTGGACTATCTAGGTTTTCTCTCAATCAAAACTGTCCAAAAGATGGATTGCCTTATTCACATGATTTACCATGAGAACAATACATTTAGAAACAGCCGATAATTTATCTTTCTTCCACGTATTAGGAAGACTCATATCCCGGCAGGAATATTTAGAACGAGTTTTAAGTGATAACGCGAGTCAATTCCAATTAGCCTTTAAAACTACAAAAGAACAGCATATAAAACTAATGGTATTCTTAGCAGAAAAGATGATCTAGGAGAACGTAACCCCAAGAGCATTTTGGAGTGGAGAAATCTATAAACGATTTGGTTGCATTGACAGAAAGAACTATGAAAAGCTATGAAGAGAAAAGCCATCGGAAGGAAGCTACTGTGGGAAAAAGAATTCATAACTTTAATTTTGGAGGTAGAAGGTATCTTAAACACTCGACCATTAACGTATGCCAGTTTTGACGGTAGTAAAGTAATACGTCCAGCAAATTTCATACAACCCAATGCTTCCGTAGTTATACCGACAACTAATGATAATCAAGATGAATACATGTCAGGAACACTGAACGCGAGGAAACGACTAATTAAATATTGGGTGACTACACTCAAGGTACTCGACACATTTTGGGAATTATGGAAAACAAAGTATTTAACAAGCCTCAAGGAACGAACCGTGAATCCTAGTAGGAGCACGTGAATTCTAAAACCACGGAGAATCAATCGCTCACCGGGAGTAGGAGAGATCGTATTGTTGGACGAACATGAAACTCTTCGAGGTTTTTGGAAATCAGCATAAATAAAAGAACTTGGAAAAGGAAAAGATGGAGTCACAAGAGCTGCAGTAGTGGGAACTCCGTATAGAAAAGTCCTCGCAAGGCCGATAAACGTGTAATATCCCCTCGAGGTCAACATCGAGTCTGATACAGAAAGAGACTAAAAATAAGGCAGAGTATCGGGAAAGCTTCGCTTGTATATGTTATATAGCAAGGGAAAGGTTTATTCAGTAGTAGAAACATAACAATTATTATAATACAATATTATTTGATAATGAAATGAGAAGGTGGGATAGGGGGATTCGGTCCTTTTAAACGGACAATCAATCGTCAAGTTGAACGAGATGAAGTAGACGTTAATTTGATCCTCAACCAAGAAGATTTATTTTAGAATGCCAAGAATGTCTTTATTGGCGCTTTTATATTGCTCATAAGTGGATTGGGCTTACGATAAGAGAATAGCTCCATTTAAGGTCTTTACAAAGCCAATAATAATTTCACAGCTGTAAGAGAAATTTATATAAAAGATTAGATTTCTTGATACGAAGAGGAAATTGCAGAAAAATCATCTTACCAGATATACCAGATGTACAGCTTTATCACAGTTTGTATGTAAATTAGCGGATGTGTACAATTTCAATATCAAAGAAGACATTTTTATGTGATTGAGTTTAGATAACAGACAGACTCATCACTTTAGATATAGAAGAAACGTAGTATATATTTGTTGTATAATGTGATGAGTCTTTATCACGGAAATGTTTTTTACGATAAATTCTTTAGCTGTTTGGACATATTACAATTTCCTTCGGTTTTTTCCAATAGCATGTGACTTCATACTTCGTATGAAGACATTTTCTAATTGAATGTTCGACAGGTTCGGAACGATCTTTTGAAACTATCAAAGTCAATTTAGAAGTTTTAGAATACATTCGCATGTCAATTATGTCCATACATCGCCACAGTTTTAGATTCACACCTAATGTCGAAACCTTTTTGGATATATCAAGGTATTTTTGTATGACATGGTCGCTATCCAACACAAGAATAGCGCTAGAGATTTGCATATCATAGAAATTTATAATTTAATCGACACTTTAAAATTTAAGTTCAAAATTGTGATTTGATATGGATCGGATCGAATAGATCTCTGAGATTCGTTGATCTCTACCCCGTTTTGTAATCAATAGTACATGTAATATTATTAGCACTGCTTGGCCGGCTGATAACTTGAAATAATTCTTTCTTCTAACAGTGCTTACCAACTGACATATTAAACACGGAAAATAGTGTGAGATATATTGATGCAGTAACTGGATAATTATTTGTGAGGGTTACTTAAAATATGTCATGACCCCTATTTGCAAGCATTTTCTTTGAATATTTTGTATTTAATGCTATTTGAAATGAATGGGAAGCAGGAGAATCTATTTGTTTCAAAAATTGTCTTAGTTACCATTGGTTATACTTCTACTTATACTTGATGTTTTTATATAATGAAAGCTGGGAAATATGCGCTCCACGGATTCAATTTCTTAAACGTAAACATAATATCCGTGTGCAGGTTATGTGTATTTCCTTTTTCCAGACCTTAATTTTATTGTTTGTGAAGGTGTTTAGATCTTCCTGAGAAGACGCCTTAC